GATGGCATTCTATAAAGCCTTAAAAGTGGGTTCTGTGTTCCCTTCTGGGCTCTTTTCCTACCTTCCCTCCCATCACCTATTCTGGTTCAGTTACATTGATTTTCCCACTGTTCTTCCAACATGCCCATACACCCCTACTCAGAGCCTTTGTACTAGGTGAGAACCAAAGTCTGGATGTTCCCAAAAGTCTGGATGTTCTTTCCTCAGAGAGCAGCATGACTAACTCTTTCATTCCCTTTAAGGCAGGGGTCCCCAAACTCTGGGATCTAATGCCTGATGACCGAGGATGCAGCTGATGTAATAATAATAGAAATAAAGTGCCCAATAAATGTGATGCACTTGAATCACTCTGAAACTGTCCTCCTACTCCTACCCCAGTCCGTGAAAAAATTGTCTTCCATGAAACTGGTCCCTGGTGCCAAAAATGTTGGGGACCGCTGCTTTAAAGCTTCAGCCAAGTGCTGACTTATTAGGGAGACCTCCCCGGTCACCTTATTTAATATATAGCAAATCCCACTTTCACTCTGGCCTTCCTGCTCCTCCTCTTTGTCTTCCTCTACAGTGCTTATCAACCATCAGACAGTGTGCTTCACTTATTTATCCTGCTTAGAGGTTATCTCCTTCAGTTCAGTTCAGTTCAGTTCAGTTCAGTTGCTCAGCTGTGTTTGACTCTTTGCGACCCCATGGACTGCAGCACGCCAGGCCTCCCTGTCCATCACCAACTTCTGGAGTTTACTCAAACATATGTCCATTGAGTTGGTGATGCCATCCAGCCATCTCATCCTTCAGTTGATTATAAATGCCACGATGGCAGGGATTTCTGTCTTGTTACTGTATCCCCAGCACGTAGAATAGTTCCTGCACTTAGTAGGATCTCAGTGAAGATACGTTGAATACATGAATGGATGAATGAACAGGAGAGTATGATCTCTTGTGCCCAGTCTATAGGCATCTCTGCACAGTCTCACCCCAGCTTTATTCCTGCTATTTCCTGATGTGAAACCACACTCCAGACATCCTGGGCTACTGCTCTTCTGGGCATTCTCTCCCTTTTGTGCTTTGGTTGCACTGTTCCCTCCACTGGGAGGCCCTTTTACATTCTTCTGACCTTTCCTCTGGGCTTCCCAGGTGGTGCTAGTGGTAAAGAACCTGCCTGCCAATGCCGGAGACATAAGAGATGCGGTTTGATTCCTGAGTCAGAAAGATCCCCTGGAGGAGGGCATGGCAACCCCCTTGCCATGGGAAATTGCATGGTCAGAGGAGCTGGTGAGCTACAGTCCCTGGGGTCACAAAGGGTCAGACATGACTGAAGTGACTTAGCATACAGGCATGACCTTTCCTGTATGTTTAGGCTAACTTTCTACTTACTCCATGAAACCATCCCAAGTCACACAGCCTCATTCTTCTTCTCTTCTCATAGAATATTCTCTTCATAGCACTAATCTGACAATTAAATGTACTGTGTATCATAATTCATATTCTTGTCTTCTGATGTTACTCAAATCATGAGTTTTTATTCAAAGTTTAAAATGTGTCTATTTTGTTTCTCCAGCTCTCTTAGCTAAGTCTAGGTAAGTGAATAAAACTGCTCATGGGCAGAGCTCTTAACCAGGGGCCCACCCTACCGCCCTGATGATGAGGGCACCAACACCTCAGCACCTCCCACCTCCTGCTGCTGAGGAGTATGCCTTAGTGCACCACTTAGGGAAGCACTGTCTTAGGTGCCTTGCTCATAGTAGGTGCTCAGACCATATCCATCAATGGACTGATTGATCTTATGTGGTTGTTTTGTTCTTCATATTCTCTCTGCAGCCTATGTATTAATACTCATTTTTTTAAAGAGACATGAAATCATTATTATGAAGTAAAAAATACATCATTAAACTGTCATTTAATGATGATGAACAAGAAAGAATTAAATATATATGAATTGGTGATTGAGCAGTATAGGACTTACCATGTTAATTGGACACACCAAAAGCTATAAAGGCCACACGTGTGAGAGGTGATTTTGTTCACGTGTTGCTCAGATTATGAACAATTGTTTTTACCATGACATTTCCACGGAGAAATTTTGAGTGAGTCAGCAATAAGTTTTAAAATGCTTGGTTACGCAGAATTGAATCTGGAAGGTCTGATTACATGTCTATCTTGCTGCACTGCTTATTTTTAATTTTTATTCTTAATTTGGAAAAAAGTATTCATTTAAAACATTATGTGAATGAAAGTTCTGCATTTGATATCTAGTGTCAATTATACCAATTAGATATATGATGGGGCTCTAATCCATCTGACAACTAATGTTCAAAGTGTTTTCTAACATCACCTACAAAAGTAGATGAAGTTACTTCTGTAGCACATTAGGTATCAATAACTATTTTTAGAACAAAAAAGTCAAACTAAACAGCTGGGCACGTTGACACCTTTATTTTCAGCTTAATTTTACTGTGCTTTGATATCTAAAAACAAGTCTTATAGCCAACTTTTATAAATGGATATTAACAGAGCGCTAGCACTAACTTCAAATAGCATTAACTATTTGAAAGTCAATTTTAACACAGTTCTGAAGAGGAATTAAATATCACCTATCAGCTCCTTATTTATCTAGTTTGAAATAGATATAGGTATCCCTTGCTTCATGAAATGGCTATGATTCTGAAAAGTTTTATATACCTTAAAATTTTACAAATTGGACCTCATTTTATTTCACATTAAAATAATTCTGAAAGGCCCCCTATTATGAACCCTTTGGGTAGTGAGTAAGAGAACTGTAATTTGTTTACTGATATCCAATACTGATGTTTAATTTTTTAAATTAAAAATAGCCATAGGTATAGGCTACTTGATTCCTAGAATTTTCAATAGCACTGATTTAAAAATAAAATATAACAGCTTTAAAAATTAAAGTTTGCCTCTAAATTTGTACTTCAAATTTTATGGCAGGCAAATTACCTATTAAAATATTTGTATTTATTATTCTGTCCCTCTCTGATTCTGACATTTTACTGTTCTTTGATTTTGTGACATATGCTTCTTCTTTTGAAACAGCTGCTATGAAAGCTTAATTAGTTTTTAATTAATGATAATGTAAAATTTTTGTGAATTTTCTATCATATCACAGATAATTTGAGACTTTTGAAATATGTTGCCAATTCTATAGGTTGGAACCTATAGAGTTTTTCCAAAAGGAAAAAGGGGCCTCATTCTTAACGAAGTCCAGAAAGGTATGTTTGTGGTACAAAGCAGGTAACAGGGGCAGACAAAACAGTTTCTCATCTCCGCTGGGAATAAATCCCAGAAACGCGCAAAATCAGTGCAAAGATGACCCTTTGTCCTAAATGGTGTGTGACAGCAAGTTAGGGTAGAGTTTTTAGATACGCAAAAATTTCTCAACTTTGAACAATACTCGCTTTGTTACTGATATTCCATGGAAACAAAGGAAAGCTGTTGAAAAAAAGAACGCAGGAAAAGTCAGGTGAGAAAACCAGCGGCAGCCCGTTTAGTGTTTCTGTTCCCACGGTGGGCTGCGTCGTTAGGCGGTGCAGTCGCTCTGCGCCTCTGTGCAGCTCTGCAAAATGCAGCAAAACCACGTCTTCCCTGTTCCCCCGGGGGTGTGTGTGGGTTGGAGGCTGTCCTGGGGTGGGCAGCCTGTAAAACACCTTACTTTCATTCGGCTCCTAGGTCACGGTGTATCCTGTGTCTTAGGTGACAGGAACAGTAACTAGGAGCCTTATTTGCAATTCAAATAAAAATCTGTGAAAGTTGAAGAGTAGCCTGAATAAGATTTCCTGTGTTTGGTCCCTTTGAAGCAAGTTGTTGGAAACTCTACAGTGCTCTAGCCATCCCGAGGGACTATCTGCAGGGACAGAAAATGAGCGCCCTGGTCTGTGCCGCTCTGATGTGGACGCCTGAGGGAAGGAATCAGTCTTTGAGTCCTATGGACCAGGAGCAAGGGTTAGACAGCAGTTCCCCTGTGTCTCAGGGTGATTTTCATGTTTTTGAAAGTTTGGCCTCATGGTCTGGCATTTTGGGAAATTTCCAAGTCTTCCTTGTGGAAGGAATCTGAATCTAAGATGGCGGACTCAGTCAGCACATGAGAACTTCCAGGATGGACTGGTCCAGTCAGCTGGACTGTCCAGGCCCAAGAGATACTGGTTTGGGGTGACTAATTTCTGCCACTCTAGGAAGTCTGTAAGGTGGCCTCCATATCCTGCATGTTGAATAGGGACAAGGAAAGGCCTATGCCCTCGAACACATCCAGACCCATTCGTGAAAATGTCTTCATCTATGTGATGTGTGACTGCCTGGCACCGTGGCTTTCCATAACAGGTTTTCAGTCAACACTAATAGAATTGAATTAAACCTATCAAATCTAAGAAGCTTTATCTTCTAATTTTTCGATGTTAGGTAAGTCATTTCCATCCAAGGGAACTCATAGATGCTACCTCATGAGATGGTGTTTATTAACATTTGCTGAGAGACTTCCCTGGTGGCCCAGTGGCTAAGACTGTACTTTCAATGCAGGGGGCCCAGGTTTGATGCCTGGTCAGGGAACTAGATCCCCACATGCTGCAACTAAGACCTGGTGCAGCCAAATAAATAAATGTTTTTTTTTTTTAAATTGAAATGCTTTTTATAAAATGTCATAATTACTAGTCATTTATTAATACCTGATCACAAGGACTGGATAAAGGATTCGTTTTTAGAAATAAAAACACTCTAGAGGGAAGCCCATTTCTAGTGAGCCCACTGTGTTTTATCAATTATCACGAGATGTATATTTAAGAATAAAACCTATGTTTACTAGCACAAAAGTTATTAGCTCTGATTTATTTACTATTCTCATAATTCAAAATGTGTTTCGCCATCCCAGAATTCTGATTATAGAATACTTATAATTTGTTATCCAATTTTGTGGCTTTAAAGGTATTATGTAGGATAGATTGATTTTTCTCATCTTTCTTTCTAATTGATGAAGCAAAGTACCGTCCAGCAAAGTCTATTTTTTAAAGTATTTATTCAGTTGACAACCAACCAAACTAAAAGAGATGAAAAATAACATAATTGAGAAAATGACACATTGTCTATAGTTCATTATGTATAAGGAAGAAAGAAGGTCTCACAATTTTCTAATGTAGAATTAAACCAAAACCCTGTGCATAATTTCTGATGGGGTTGAAAGGGACAACCAATTCTCTTAATGATTCACCAGTGAAATAAATTCGACATCTGAGTGGAATAAAAGTATGTGTATCGTAGGGTGTTTTGAAATAGCAAGTTTGGCGGAAGTGGTGAAGATCAGGGTGAGCACTGGGCTAACGGAAGTAGCCCAGGGCAGAAGCAAGATGCCCCGAGTTCTGCCACTTGCTGTGACCTGACGCAGCTTGAGGTGCTCCCTTTCCCATCTGTAGAATGAGAAGGTGAATCAGGTGCTCTAAGTGGTCCCCGAAGAGGAAGGAAGGTTCTAGAGATCTGCAGCCTAAGTTTGGTGAGAGAGGAGTGGGTGGAATCATTGTGCCCTTGCCATCCCTCAAATGCACCAGTGATTAGGATCTGCGTGAGTGTGACCGAAGCACGGCAGAGTTTAAAAAAGACTCAGATTGTCAAATATTGGGGCGAGTCACAGCTTCTCAGCATCTTATGTTTTCTTATCTGTAAAATAAGGGAGATGGCCTAGATCGCTACAGTTCCTTCTAGTTCCAACATTTAAAAATCATAGAAAAGTAGAGATTTTAAGCTAAATTGAATATGTTTTCAGATATATCTCCATCGAGTGAATTAAATGCTAGAAGAATTAAATATTGTAGTTCAAATGCAGAAAATAACACTATTAGAAATCATGTGGGAGTCAATTTCCAAATTAATAGATTCAGCATAATGAATATTTCCCCAACAGCAAAGCAAATATTAATACACAAATTCTAAGTTTAATAATTACCTTTAACTTTTTTTAAAAAAGTAACAAACCCTCATCCTACTATTATTATAATGGCTGCATTGTTTACATGAAACAGGATAAATCTTTCCCAAAAAGGTGCTCATAGAGATGTTCACAAAGGAAAACAAATATATCATTGATTCAAATAGTCTCTAATAGCAGAAAGATGGTCTTGCATCAGTTTAGAACATCAGTTGGTACTGTTTCTAGAGATCCACTCATTATGGTATTGTTCTGCTAGCAAAACTTCATGTGTGTTATGCTTTAATTCAAGGTAAATTTTTAGAAAAATTCAGTTCTATCTGTGAGAGGGTAAGCATTTTCAAATTGTATAGTTAAGACTTCAATGGTAGGAGAGCAAGTTTAGAAAACATTTTTATTAGACAAATTATTTAGACAAATTATACACAGAAAGCTCTGTCACTTATAACTGAGGCCTTCAAAAAGTGGTTTGTGTATTTGTATAATAGGCAATACATCAAAATAGGCCTATTTTAAATATTGTACATGGTTAACAGTTTGTTGATAGCTAAAATCACTGCAACATCTGGTATGTCCCTATATAGCTTGTTGTAAAGATTTTTTGTTTGAAAATCAGAGTCGTGAATGAGATCATGGATGTTACAAGGGAAAACAAGTTGTGCATGCACTTAGATACTTGTTACCCTGGAAACAAAATGGTTTCGCATGATAAGAGAATTTTCTGCCTTACACAGTAGACAATATTTGACGATTTAGTACAAAAACAGTGACAGGACAAGATGCTCCCCAGAACAGAATTAGCATCAAAATATAATATACCTTAAGAATATACCTTTTAATTTCTCCTAAAGCAAATCACATAGGTTGATTCCTATATCAATCCTAGCCACGGAATGAATTAGAATAAAATAAGTCTATGGCTGCGTAAAAACACAGGATAAGTTCTTGCTTCCTACTTACCACATTTTAATTGAAGGATTACAAACAAAATTCTTTCTACATTTCTAAAAGGTAAGAATGCTACTTTAAAAGGATTGTGCACAAAGAGGCACTGTTTTTTGTTGTCATCCTTCTATACACTTGGCACTAATGTAAAAAATACATAACTCCTCCAAATAGAACTGAATAAAAAAGGGGGTGAAGTTGAGAGCCCAGTAGGGTTGTTATATTTTCTTCTTTAGGATAATGTATGACAGTAATTAAGGCCACATCAATATTTCTTAAGGGCTCCCATCTCTCCCCAACTACAGTTGTATTGATTGGCTCACTGCTTTGGAAGAGAATTTATTAACCTCCAATGATCTACATCTAAACTCGGATAGAGCTCTCTGCGCTGTGGTGGATGTGGTTCAGCTAACAACATTTTCCATTGAGATAATTAATTAAAAGCAAAATTATCAAGGTTAGCTTTATACATTGCTGAATAACAAATGCAGAAATCTATTCGAATGAGTTACATCTAGGAACAAATATTAAATTGCCCTGGATGTTTTAATAACAAAAGTATAAAATATTCTCTGTTGGCAAACAATGCGAGTCAGAATAACATTAAAGCAACCTGCCTTTTCTAACTGAAAAGACCCCCTGCACTATACATAGTTCCTGTATACAATACTTTTTTTTTTTAAACTAAAGCTTTATTAAATGAATTGCAATAGCAATGGCCGCCTTTGAATATATATATACACATTATATAGGTGCATATATATGTATATATGAGATACTAATTTATTTAACACAATAGAGGCTGCTGCCATATGATAAAGTTTACTGTACATAAGCAAAAAAACCTTTTTAATACTGTACAATCACATAAAGGTCATATGCACTGTTGCAGTGCAAGAGTGGTTTTAACTGTAGTCTTGACTGGCATATTAATGGCTTTTTTGTAATCCTACAAAATTGCATTCTCATATTATGTGGCCTGAATGGTCTTTAAATTATTCTATAAACACTGCAGGGGTTGCCTTTGGTCCATAGTCAAAGGACACTCGACAGCAGTGGAGCATTTTATGGATGCAGCAGAAGAATGTAAAAAGACTGAAGTTATTGCAATTATAGTTTTAAAAATAGAGAAATGTTACAGAAGAGGCCTTTATGTAAAATTAACCCTGCACATACTCCTAGCATACTCAGTGTGTGTTTCCTACTCTTGAAGTACAGTATATGAAAAGCAGTCTAATAGGATCCTAGTATACTACCTTCTGGGGGAACAAGTTGAGTAATGAAACAAAGTGGAAGGAGATGTCTGGAAAGAGAGGGAAGAAGAGAGAGAAAGAAGCAGAGGAGAGAGAAGAGGGAGAAGGTAGAGAGAAAGAACTAGAATTGTTACTAATAATCCTGATTAAAAAAAAAGTTACATCCATGTTAGTCCCACAATCTTACAGTTGCTCCTTGCAAAGGGAGTCCTACAAGAGAAACTGGAGAGATTTTGTTGGATTCTCATATGGAAGTGCCTCGGTCTGGATCGTTACCCAGATTGAGCCCCAGGGTAGGAGTTGGTTGATAAGGAATAGATGACATTGTTTTGATAGGACTCCTGAAAAAGCCCCCATTAGGTGCCCTGTGCCTAAAAGGGCCAGTTCGGTGCTCAGGCACGTTGCCAAAAGCGAAACCAGAGGCAGCTTTAGCTGACAGTGTGCGGCTAAGAGTCTGGATCTGCTCTGGGATAAAGGTTGTTGTGGTAATATGAGTGTTCCTGAAATCACTGATCTGCTCCAGTGCTTGTCGTGTTGGCAAAGTGTCAATGTCCAGAGGGGTCAAGTCAATTGACGAGGTGGAAAACTGTTTATGGGGGCTGTCGTCATCTGTGCACAAGCTATTTACACGTCTATGGAGGTGCTCCAGGTCAATTTCCTTGTCATCCTGGAGATGAAGAAAAAGAAGATAAGGTTCTCATCAGTACTAGCTTCCATGGTTAAAAAAATAAAAAGTAGTTCAGCAAACATGATAGGTAATGAACTGAACTTTGGGGTTTGTTCTGTTAACAAATATTTATTGAGCACCTAATATGAGCCAGGCACTGTGCTAGGTTATGGGGGTACCCATATGATTCTGAGATAAGGTTATCTATCTTTTTCTTGCAATGAAAGTTCTTAAATGAGCAAATGCCACATGCAACTACAAAATATGGGAGTCGTAGATGGGTGATTGCCTTCTACAAGAGCAGGGACAGACCCAGGCAAAATTATACAAATAGAATGTATGGTTTTGGCTACACATTCCCCCACCCCCCCACCTCTTCTATTTGCATGCTTCCTCCTTCTTCAGGATGTCTCATTCTAAGTTGGCTTTTGTTTCTTTCCTCTATTCAGCCCTAACCTTAACTTTCCATTCTTGGAGATAAGTAAAGCTATGTTGATATGCTAGTTTACACTAAAGTGTTAGTGACTGTTAAAGGGTTATTTCTCTTTCAGCTAGAAACATGTGAGATTGTTTAGAGAGAGCAACATTCAACACAAGAGAATCGGTTTCTGATTGAGGGATTTCATACACTCAAGTTACCTAGTGCCTAAATGATTTAGTATTGTGAGGTCAGCAAAAGAAGCTTTAGAGACCCCTTCAAGTCATGACATGTGAGTGACAGCTTCAGTTTAGGGCCAACTTAATACTAAATGGCCTCTAAATCAAAGACGTTTTGAGCTATGCTAATAGAGTCTTAGTAAGAAGGTGCTTAATGAAGAAAAAGGAAGTAAAACCTCAGATTTCTGGAGGTGAAACTAATTCATAAATTCCTTAGAATTTTCACTAAAAACGAGCATTAAAGCCCAATATTTGAAAAATAAAATTGGCAGGAAAGAAAATTGTCCTTTTCATCAGTCTTCTTTACAGCCAAGTTCAATAAACTAAATTTATGAGGATTTAATTATATCCAATAAATTAAAATTTAAAATATCTATTAATCATAAAAGGAAATATTTGTTCATATGATCTGGATTAGCTGCTATGAATTAGAATGGAGGATGTATTTTTTTCATTGTGCAATTAAAGTGCTCCTCAGTGAAAAATATTTTGATGTGCATCACTGTTTTTCCTTCTCCTTTCTCATTTCAAAATCCAATAAAAATATCCATTAATGCAATATTATCAGTGAGACTTTAGAGGGTTGAAAGATAGAATTTTATGGTTCCCACAGCAACTATAATGTAGTCATCCATCAACAGATATAATAATGCAAAATTTAATATCATGTATAGTAATTCAAAATATAAGGAGCTTGGGGAGTCCTTAATTTTCAGATTTTTGAAACTATGATGTCTCGGCTATAATGTTGCATTAATGTGGTCTTTGGCATTGAATCAGTGTCAGTAGAGATACCAGAAGTTTATTCCACAAAGAAAACACTACAGAAAAATCTGATTAATTTTTAGTTTATACCCCACTAATTTAGAATGTATGATCACTCAGACAGGTAGGCAGCTAAAATTTATCTTTGCCGAGTCAAGCTTTTCCTTGTAAATGGTGCTGATCAATTTTTCATATAAGGTGGTAGGAAGGAATCCTCAGAAAATTTTAGGAAACAATCTGTTTGAAAGAATATATTAACATGCAAAAATTCACATGCAAATGAGAAGTCATTTTTATTTGTGCCTTAAAGCAGATCCTCTTAGGATTTACTGAGGCATTAGTTAGCCAAGGTCTAGTTACAGAAAGTTTAAAACCGTCTTTCTTTGAAACTATGCAGCAAATCAAATTATTCAGCAAATTCAGATTTTTTAAAATTTCAATTTGTGAAGCTTTAGTGAATATGAGTTCATTATTAAAATTTTTTTTCACCTTTTGATCCAGTGGAAGTAATATAAATAAATCAAGTAGTTTAAGTTCAGATAGTTTCTGAAAATTTATAAATCCCACTTTTTTTTTTTTTTTTTGGATGAAAATAAAGCACAGGGCACTTTAAAAGATATATGTAACTCTGAAATTATTCTTTCAAATCTCTGGAAAAATTTTAATATGGCCCTGGAGTTAAGCTGATCCATGAGGAAAGATGAAAAATGGAATTCTAGATGATTCCATGGTATGGATTTGTTAAGCTTAGAGTCATCAAAGAGCTGAAAACATATGATCACTTTTCTAGGTCTACATGCAGACAGAGGGATGCAGTCTCTGGCAGTGAAGAGAAAACTAATTATTTTACTGTAACACTGCATTTCTTAGGCCGAATCTCAGAGACACTAGTAATTAACCTATAAGTTAAACAGCTACTTGAAATAAAATAATAAGTGTCTTAGTTAAATGGTCAAGGGAATCACAGCCTTTAGAAAAATCATAGACCTAGTCTATCCTAAGATTCGGGAGAATTTCAAGGCCCATTATGGCTCATGAAACTGTCAGTCTTTGAAATGCTATCGTTTCCTCTTCATGGATCTGGGGTGTCTTAAAAATGCAAATTGGTATTGATCTTACCAATTTTTACATTTCATATGTTTATTTTCATTCTTCAAGGAAAGAAGAGACAAATCCCACCCCCCACCACCATCCTGTTCCCTGTGATGACCCTCCCTGGAAACACAGCCCACGTGTTTGCTCAACACAGTGCTGAAGCTTTCAAGCAAGTACCTCTTTCGATGGAACCCGGGAGCCTTTCCTCTTGTTCCACCACGTCTCCAGCATGGCTATAAAGCAGGAGAGGACAATGCCAGCAGCCAGGATACAAAAAACCCCTGCAAAGCTCTTGATGTCCAGGGCGCCTCCTTTCTGCTTTGTGTCCACGGAGGAGTACAGGTCGCACTGACCGTTCTTGGGCCACCACTTGTGCTTCAGAATGTCCATGTCGCCATTTTGCTGAAGCTCCAGGATCCTTGGGGTGAAACACACAATCACGTGTTATTGCAGACATGGTTAACTGCCTCAGTCCACAATACATCCGTTAATAACCCCACAGGATGGTGGCTGTCAAGGGGAAATAAACATATAGATTAGCCTATGGGTGGAATGTTAGGACATGCAAAACATTATAGAGTTGAATTCTATAGATAGATTTGTGCCACAAATGCTTTCCTCCCTCCATTCTTATATTCTTTCCTTTCCCTTCTTTTTTTTTTTAAAGTTCATTTTAGAATCCTAAATATTACCCACCCCCTGCCCTGGTTTGTTGTGATGTGTTTTTGCAATTACATTTTGGAGGCACTGTTTTTATGTGGTTTCAAGCTGCTGCAGTTCTGTGTTCCTACCCTATATCCAGAAAGATGCTCTGGATCTTAATGCTTTTACGAAGAACGTTTTGCTGCTTAGAGCAAGATGCTGGCATAATGTCACCCAGCATATGCTACAGACAAAGGAATTCAATTAAACAGACTTCTATTATTTAACACAGTGTGAGAGAAAGCCTTGGGACAAGTCTGAAGTTGATAAAATACATCATTTTGGGTTTTTCACACAACTGATCTAGTTTCCTTTTAATGCCAAAGGCGAAATAATCTTACCTTGGAGAACAAGAAGAAAAGTTGACCAGAGGCTTTCAGAAGTAGTTAAATTCAAATAAGAAATACCCTTTTTCTTCTTTTACTCACTTCCAGAGTCTGGGGTGGGGGTGGGGGCGTAGCTGCAAAGACTGCAGCTTTTAAAACGTATATTTTTCACAGCGGCTCAATTCCAAATATTCTTTGGGCTCTGCCTCAGACTTGCCTAGTTCTGGCCCTTCTCGCAGGGTGAGAACAGTCAGGGCCAAGGTCATGAGCATTCCAGAGTGGGTACCCTCTGCGCAGTTCCCTGACATTTCCTGCCCAGGCAGCTCAGAGTGCCCCACCAGGGCCCATAAAGGCCTCTTTCCATGTCTCATTATGAGAGCAGGTCTCACAGCGAGGGGTACATACAGGTTTCCACGGTGGTGTTTGGGGGGTGCCGACAGAGTTCAACGTGCAAGCTCAGGCACACACACCTCTGTGTGGGAAACCCCTCCCTGTGTGGGTGGAAGGGGAACCAGAGGTCCACTCCTTGTGCCACTGAATCAGCACAGAACTCTTAGCTGGTCATGAATTAGAAATCCAGACCTGATGTCGTAGGGGTCATGAAGGTATATTTATCAATATAAGAGGACAGAACATATTTTATCTAGCAGAATTTAACCTGATTCTTATAGTTAGGATTCTCCAGGCAAGAATACTGGAGTGCGTTGCCATGCCCTCCTCCAGGGGATCTTCCCAATCCATGGATCGAACCCAGGTCTCCTGTATTGCAGGCAGATTCTTTACCATCTGAGCCACAGGACTTAGGATATGTGGACCCATATTGTACTCTTGTCCCAGCTCTTGTATTATCTGAGGACAGGCTGCTTGAAACTTTAGAGAGAAGTACTAAGCCAATCTGGGCGGAATAAATAACTCACTTTTGGTGATGCATTCACCTTTTTTACCTGTTCATGTCATCCACAGGTCTGTAAGTACGAGCTTAATGATAATCGACATTCAATCAGAGCTAAACAAGAGTAATACCAGTGCTAAGGGCTACGATGGAGAGTTAAACCTTTATTTCTTAGTTTTCATTTTCTTTTGGAGTATAGTTACTCCAAAGTTACAGCAAAGTGATTCAGATATACATATACATGTATCTGTTCTTTTTCAAAATCTTTTTTCATTTGGGTTATTACAGAATATTGAGCAGCATTTCCTGTGCTATACCAGAGGTTCTTGTTGGTTAATTATTTTAAATATAGCAGTGTGTTCCTGTCAGTCCCAAACTCCCCCAATCTATCCATCTCTCCCTTCCTGCCCCATAACCATAAGTTCATTCTCTATGTGTGTGAGTCTATTTATTCTGTAAATAAGTTCATTTGTACCATTTTTTAAAGATTCTGAATATAAGTAATATCACATGATAATTGTCTTTCTCTGACTTACATCTCTGTCATCTACCTTTGGGTTTTCCCACAGCCTCACCCCTGGTGCCCGCTGCTGACACTCTGGGATCAACATTGCATTGGAGCCTCCCTCACAACTTGGGCATCTTCCTCATGAAATTGATGGATCTAAAGTTCTGTTGCTTCAGAGTGTTGCTCAAAAGGAGCAGTAAATGTGAATTTACTAAAATGATTATGAGTGTTAATAGATTCTATTTCACCCTTATTCCAGCCTCCATCCCAGATTAAGGTCATTTGCATTTCCTGCATTTCCAAAAGCGTGTTCCAAGGGACCCTAGTCCCTAGAGGGTTTCTGCAAAAAAACAAAAAAAAGGGTCTTGTGGTCATCAACTCTGAGCTACACTCTCTTGGAAATTTACCAAAATAAGGCAGCCTATTAAAGGCTTTGAGAAGACCTATAGAAAAGAAAACGTGTATGATTTTGTTTACTTCAACATTTCCTAAATTTATAAGACTTTCATTCCCCTTTTCTTATTTTCTCTAGAGCTAAAATTTTGAGGAATACATTTGAGAAATAGTTGCTTGAGTCATAGGAACAACTCTCTGTGGGCCTGTGAGGCACCATCACCCACATCCTCGGAGTTGCTTGCTTGGCTTATCTACGAATATCATTCAGATACCAATAGTAAACTGACACTGTAGGTATTTGCCTACCTAAAGACGCTAGGTAGTCAGGGCACTACTGAATATATTGAAAGAAAAAACAGTCATCCCTAAAAGAAATAACTTCTTAAATGTGAATTTATAGGTAACTGTAAAAATGAAAAGAAACTACAGCAGCATCTTCTTAATGCGAACACATCTGAATACAAAATGAGCTCCCAAATTTCCCTGTCTTTCTATCCTGCTACATGATATTGGTCAGTGTCTGTGGAAGTGGAAGAGTTTTCCTTCATAGACAGCAGTTATCATCATTTGTAATTATTTGTGGTTATTTTATTAAATGTCATCACTTGTAAGTATTTGTGGTTACTTGATTAATGTCTGTTCCCTTCCAAGAATATGTACTCACCATCTTCCATACTTCCTAACATGGAGCAGGCATATATTTACTTATTTTTAATTTAATTTAAAATTTTTTAATTTTATTTTTTAAAATTTATTTTTAATTGGAGGACAATAGCTTTACAATGTTGTGTTAGTTTCTGCCACACAACAATGCAAATCGGCCATAACTATACAATATCTACCCTCTTTCTTGAGCCTGCCTCCCTTATCCCCATGGAGCAAGCATATATTTATGGATTGAATATGTTCAACACAGTTTTTGGTAAATGAACCCGACCTCCAGAGTCTACTTATCATTTCTTATCATTAATCCTACTTTCTAATTTATTCCATTCCCACCGATTCATCTATTTATTCAATAAATATCTAAATAGTGATTTCACTTCAGGCATTGAGTTGGGTACAAAATTTATGTTAAGCCACAACTGTACATTCAGTTAGCATGCTCTGGGCAACACTGAAGTCATTTCAGTGCTCAATTCATGCTAATTTATTCTTTCATTCCTTCACATATTCATTCAGGAAAGGATTATTGCTTACTCTTTCTTCTTAGTGGTATCATGTACCACTTATGATGTGTCTTTATTATTTCAACACCTGGAAAATAACTTGGTTTTAAAAATAATCATTGAGATATACATATTCTATATCACCCATTTTTATTCCCATAGGAGTAAAGGGCCTTTACTAAGTCTAAAGAATGTGTTTAAAACTGTAGAATTTTTTAGGTTTAGCAAGCTGGTGGAAGGAGTTTTTTAGTTTCAGCAAGCTGGTAGTAGGAGTTATTGAGGGGAAAAAAAAAACTTCTGGGACTTCTCTGGTGGTGCGGTGGATATGAATCTGCCTGCCCCTACAGGGAACATGGGTTCGATCCCCAGTCTGGGAAGATTATACATCCTGCAGATCAGCTAAGCATGTGAGCCACAACTACTGAGCCAATGCTCTAGAGCCCAAGAACTGTGCTGAAGCCCCAGTACTCTTGGGTCTGTGAGCTGTAACTACTGAAGCCCATGTGCCTTAGAGCCCATACGCTGCAACTAGAGAAAGCCTGCACAAAGCAATGAAGACCCAGGCCAGTCAAAGAAAAAAAAAAAAGTTAAGCTTCCACACACACTCTAGTAAAAGAAAAAAGAAAAGAGACTTCTCTATGCACCTTCGAGTACCATCACATCGCAAAGATACCTTTATTGGCTGTTCTCATTAAGCACAGGTAACTGAGGCATTGCAGAAGACCCTGTCTTTGGGGATATACAGACAAACTGGGCCATAGAATTCCTCAGTCAGGCTCTGACCAGCCCACAGCAAATTCCAGGAACACAGACTGACCTGGATTACAACAGCTCTGCAGAAACAGTGTTATCTAAGCCCAGAGTGCTGCTATACATTTTTTCCACACAATATAATGATCTTCGAAATTCCCTCAGAACAGTTACACTACATTTTCCTTTCTATTATATAACTAAAACTATTTAAGGATTAGGTAAAAAAAGTTTAGCAAAATCTAATGCACTGCCTTAAAGAATAATGGGATGAGTCCTTACAATTAATAAGATTCTTTTTTCCAAAGCTTCAAAAGCTCTGGTATGTTTAAAAGAGATTTAAAAATCACACTTAAAGGAGAGATAGGCCATTTATTTATAAGCAACACTGATGTTTCATGTGTGTATATATAACGCAAAAATCTAGCTGCACACTTCTAGTCCAAAGACAGGAGAAGGCAATGGCACCCCACTCTGGTCCTCTTGCCTGGAAAATCCCATGGACGGAAGAGCCTGGTGGGCTGCAGTCCATGAGGTCGCTGAGTCGGACACAACTGAGCGACGTCACTTTCACTTTTCACTTTCATGCATTGGAGAAGGAAATGGCAACCCACTCCAGTGTTCTTGCCTGGAGAATCCCAGGGACGGGGGAGCCTTCTGGGCTGCCGTCTATGGGGTCTCATAAAGTCGGACACAACTGAAGTGACAGCAGCAGCAGTGCAAAGAGAAAGTTTAGTCCCATGGAATGATTGTTCCTGTTATATGTGAAATTTCCACAAGATGGCAGTCTTTGCTCATAGAGAGCAAAGTACCACTCACAGTTAACCCTGTGGGTTTGAAACATGAAAGTATAAACTTTTTGGTGCTGTAAACACTTAAATGAATGAAAACAAAGTTGGATCTTAGACTGTGATGATTGGATACGTAAAACCTCT